TGCTACTAAAGAGGTGTTATTCCTTAGCTTCCTCGTGTTAACTAAGGGTATTAAGGCTAATCCTAATCGGATTAAAACCATTACTAAATAGCCTGTTCCTACTTCGATTAAGGAACTATAGTCGTTCCTCGGCTTCGCTAATTTCTATCGTCGCTTTATTAAGGGCTATTTACGGCATGTAATGCCCCTAACTAAGCTTACTAAAACCAAGGCTAACCCGTCTAGAGAGTTCAAATAGACTAATAAGACGCAAGCCGCTTTTAACGGTCTAAAGCAACGCTTTACTAAAGTGCCCCTATTGTACTATTTTGTACTAAGCAAGTAGATCCGTATTAAGACTAACGCTTCACAGTTCGCTATATCGGCTATTATATTACAGCAATCAGATAAGGACTATTACTAGTACCTAATTGCCTTCTTTTTACGAAAGATAATCGATATAGAGCGTCGCTACGAGACCTACGAGTAAGAGCTCCTAGCTATTGTCGAGGCCTTTAAACATTAGAGGCACTATCTCGATAGTGTATAGCACACTATTTAGGTCTATATAGACTATAACAACCTCCGTAGCATTACTAAGGTTACTAGGGTTATAGGTCGATAGGCTAGATAGGCCGTCTACCTCGCCGGGTTTGATTTTAATATATTATATCGGCTAGGCGTAAGCAACCCTGCTAATAGCCTATCGAGGCGACCTAATTACGATAGCGAGACTTAGTATATTAATTTATTGTTTCTAACCCTATAGTATAAGATTGCTATAGCCCGTATTATTAATAAGCAAGCGTAGGATAAGCGGACTTCCGGACCCCGCGGCGGCAACAAATACTATAGCAGAGTTGTCGTTCTTCTAGTGCACGTTAAGAAGGACGTAGATCGCTCGAGCTATAATAACTTGATTAAAGATATTACTATCTATAGCGACAGCACTATAGAAGAGGTTATAGTAGTTCCGGCTGCTAGTGCTATTAGATGTATATAATGCGTACCTCGTTCGATAGCACGGGTGCTATTAAATAACCTTATAAATAGGGATAGTTAATCGTTTATAGATAAGCTATTGCGTACTTAGTAGAGGGACGCCTTTGCTGTCGAGCGCATTAATAAGCTTATAAGTAGGCGAACGACTCGATCTAGTAAGAGTAATTAGTCGATCGACGACAAAGGTTATTTAAAGTTCAAGGGCAGATACTATGTCCCCGCTAAATAATCGATCAGATAAGAGCTTTTAAAGAGGCACTATAATAGTAAGCTCGCTAGTTACTATAGTATAGAGAGGTCGTACGAGCTACTATCGCGTATATACTACTAGCTAAATAGTAAACGGCATATAAAGGAGTATATGCAGACCTATATAGTATACTAGCGAGTTAAAGCACTAAAGCACTTACTATTTAGCGAGTTGTCTTTACTTCCTATTCCTAGGAAGCTATTTGCTAAGCTTATAATAGACTTTATTATAGGCCTTCCTCCTACTAAGCGTAGGGGCAGCAAGGATGTGTATAATGCTATCCTTGTTATAGTAGATCGATTTACTAAAGGCGCTCGATACATCCCGGCGCGCAAGGATTGGACTGCTATTAATATAGCAGAGGCGCTATAGACTAATATCTTCTGTACCTATTAGGGAACCCCTAAGGGGATCGTATCCGATCGTGGATCGACACTAACGTCTTACTATTAGAGCGAGATTTGCTTATAGCTAAGACTAAAGCATCGGCTATTAATAGCCTTCTATCTACAGACTAACGGTCAAATAGAGAGGTAGAATGCTACCCTGTAGCAGTACCTGCGCAGTTATATTAACGAGAACCCTAACGACTAGGTTAACCTCCTATAACTAGCTGAATTCGTGTACAATAATAGTGTCTACTTATCGACTAAGGTATTACTATATATAGCTATAATAGGCTAGAACGCTGCTATACTATAAGACCTACTATCGCTCGAGGCCGAGCGTAAGGAAAGGGAAGCGCGTTAAGTACCGGAAACACTAGCGGCAATAGAACGTGTCTAGAAGATACGAGAAATCTATACTAAGATAGCTAAGAAGCTAATAAGGGCTTAAGAGTACTAAAAGGCCTACTACGATAAGCGCTATATACTAATAACCTTCAAACAAGGCGATATAGTTATGCTAAGTACTAAGAACCTCCGTATCCGCAAGCACCTATTACCTAATAGTAAAACAAGGCCTAAGCTCGCACTAAGATATATTGGCCTATTCCGTATTCGAGAAGTTAAGGGCTCTTCCGTATAGGCCTACTAGTTATAGCTTCTACCCTATTACACTATCTATAACACCTTCTATATATCCCTCCTTAAACTATACTACTAGCGTAAAGGCGATAAAGCGCCTACTAAGTTAGAAGAAGTCTTAGCTAATAGTAAAGAGCTGTAGTCTATAGAACGTATCCTAAAGTACCGGACTAGGTAAGGCAAGAAGGAGTATCTACTAAGATAGCAGGGCTATTTACTAGAATAGGACTTATAGGAAGCTGAAGATTCCTTTGAGGATATAACCGAGTTGTTAGATAAGTATTGGACTAGCGCGAAGAATAAGAAGAAGGCTAAGGGCCTATAATGTCGCCTAGGATTAATGCTATCCCTAGGGTGCTATTAGCTAACTAATTAGAGACAAGCAATTGTTAGTAACAAAGGACAATAAGACTACGCTAGGCGCGCTACGACGCGTTAATTAACTAATTGTATACTCTTTTAAGGACTCTACCTCTTTACTAACGCGCCCTATAGGTCCCCTTCTTATTCCTTTATTCTATCGAGGCCTCGAGGCCTAGGCGATCGGCGAGGGCGGCGTCGCGCTTGTAATAGCGCGGCCGGCGCGGCTATATTAGTAACAGTATTGCCGAGTTATTATTAGTTAAAGAAGGAAATTAGAAGAAGGTAAAGTTGGCGCTAAGACGACTAGCGCTGCTATTATTAATATTACTTACTATTGTCGCTGCGCCTATAGACATAACCTTACCTATACTACGAGCCTAAGGTACCTTTAATTAAAACTTTGATTAAAAGCTTTGAGCCTATTAAAGGTTTAATCAAAACTTTAAGGCTAAGTTAAAACTTTAACTAAGTCAAAAGATCGAGCAACTAATAGACTAACTAAGGGCAAAAACTGTAGAGCTAAGCTAGCCGGGGTCGATCTTATAGATAATAGGTTACTCCTCGATCTTTCTAACCCTTTAAGCGAGGCGAACCTTAACTACTGCACTTATAATAGCCTTTACCTATAGAAACTAGACGAGCTGTGTTTTTTCTAAAAAGTAAATAATAGCCCTTATAATAATAAGAACAAACCCTCGGAAGCGGACAACCCTCGGAAGCGGATATTACTAGGTCTTTTAAGAGTAGACGCAAAGAACTCGATACGACATTACTTAGAACGGAGGCAGTGCTATAATACCTCGTACGTCTACCTATTATAGTAGGGAAGACGCGCTCGTATTGTAATTAGTCGAAGGCCTTTAATTCTTGTAGATATATATTACTTTATAGTTTATTATATATAGAGATAGCGCAGTTGGAGTTGTATATTGTATTGTTTAGAGGTAAGGTTTGACATAGTTATATAATTAGGTAGTTAAGTGTTCAATTTAGCGCGGGCTAAGTAGCTTACTAGACTTGCTAAGTTAGCGGCAATAGAGGTCGTAGAATATAGACAGGCTACGAGGGCGCGGCCTTTAGAAGGGAAGCGTATATTAGGGCTAAAGAGGCTATACGTAATTGGTATATAACTAGGCTAAGTGAAGCTAGGGTCTTAGTGCCTTAGATAGGGCTTAGCGCTTAGTAATAGGCTAACTTGCCTGCCTTCCTCCCTCTCCTCTTAGATCTCTATCGAATACTACCTATACCTACTACTACCCTATCTACCTACTAATATACCCTTGTTACATCGAGCTACTATAGTACCTTTAACGTCTTTCTAGGGTTCTACCGAAGCCTCTTAGTAATAGGCTCTTCTTCTAGTATATAGTTACGCTTGATTTTAGGCTTAGTCTTAATAATAGGCTCGACTACTAGCGGCAGTAGTATTATTAGTAGCAGCGGCAATATTAGCAATAACGAGCCTTTAGACTCGGAGTCTAATAACTGCGTACGACTTAGTACTACTATTCTTATAACAATATCAACCTTCTTCTACCTCGATTACTTCTACGTATTTGCCGCCTATCCTCGAAAGTGTATTATATAAAGAAAGAGCCTAAAACACTATAAATTCGAATATCTATATAGGATCTATATACGCCGATGTATTGCCTAGTAAATACTTAATATTTAGTCGTATTCAGTGGATCTATATTCAAATTCATATTCAGATTGAATACTGAATACACTGAATACTGAATAATCATTATTCAAACTCTATGGCGCCCATTCGTCGACTACGTCCTGCACATAGCGTCTGGAGTCAAGCATAGCATGACTCTTAGGGCTTGCCCAAAAGATGCCCGAGGCCGTCCACGTTCTGCCAACGAACGTCAACTGTTGGCAGCCATTCGGACCATGTCTATGCGCACTTCCGAAGGCGAGATGCTGCGAGCTGCTGAGCTTTGTGTCGAATGCGTTCTGAACGTTGCTGGCAACCCGACTGGTCCCAGAAGTGTGGCAATTGCTCCACGATACCCGTAAGCATACGGTCAGCCAAATGCGCCAAGGTCAGTCAATCAAACGCAGGGAAAATGTAGATCTTGGGCAGGCGCCTGGTATACCGTCTTTCAAAGCTTCGGTGGTATCTTCTAAGCCTCCGAGCCCTACGACTGCTGTTTTGTCTAATAGGAGAAGCAGACTTTAACCACTCGGGCAGCGGACGCTACCATTCGCTTCTTGAAAGAGGGTGTACGGTCGTCCGGAATCTGACCCGAGAAGCACGTACTGGACTGCAGATGCGAGGGATCACTCTGGAGCCTTATGATGTATTTGGCTTGATCTCAATACGCATCGCAGCTCTCTTCCTGCGATGTTCATCCACAGTCGCAATGTATGACATGACAGACGTGATTGATTTGACAATATACAGCCAACTCGAACCATGAAACTCAGCCCCCATCCTTTGTCTTTCTGTACTGTAACTTATGTACCTCACATTCCACATGGTGAACACCGCATTCCAACCATCACACGTGGCGTCGTCGGAACAACGATTACGGTACGTCGGCCTCGACGAGCCGCATGATGAGGTGTTTCCGTCCCCACATCGGAAGTGTGGGGAATCCCTGCCAAAGTGAATGAAACACCGCGAAGAATGTGTCCCGCTAAGCGTACTCGCGCATGTGATGATGCACTCCTCTTTCCCAATGGGGTGTCCTCGTGATGGCGTGCTTCCGTTGCGTGCTGCATGGAAATTGAATCTCTCTCAAGCCATGTGCTTTACAATGATGTTACCTCCCAGCAAGGGCTTTGTTGCTTGAAAGCTTGGCGGTAGCAGTTCTGCTTACACTTGAGCTTGAGCTTTCAGGTCCCGAGACTTCTCCTTTCTTTGGAACTTTATTCTACCTTTACGACCTCATCAGGCCTCGAACTGGCTGGCACCTTGATCAGTGACACAACGCGTCTAAGATGGCGAAGCTGAAAGGCACCAGACTGGGCGCTTTCCGCGCCTACTTCTTCGGCTTCTTCGTGTGCACCGCTGGGTTCTTATTCGGGTATGATACGGGAATTGTTGGTAAGTACTGTAGTCAAGCTGAGGCTCGAGACAAACCCTTGCGCTCGCGCTATTGTATGCCAGCGAGAAAGCTTATTCGTAACGGCCGCTGACGAGTTCACGTCTTGGTAGGTGGTGTTCTGACGATGAAGGCGTACAAGAGGGACTTCGGGTACAGCGACAACACGACCGTGTCAGCCGTCATGGTGTCGTTGCAAAATGTTGGCGCTTTCCTGGCCGCCTTGGCCATCTCGCCCGTCTCGGAGCGATATGGACGAAAAACCACCGTTCAAGTTGCCTGCATGGTCTTCTGCATTGGTGTCATCCTTCAAGTCGTCCCGTCGCATTCGCTTGTATGCTTCTACATTGGAAGATTCATCGCGGGACTCGGTCTGGGTGGAGCTACTGCGGTTGTGCCCGCCTATAATGCGGAGCAAGCACCCAAGGAAATTCGAGGACGACTCGGGTCAGGTATGCAGATGATGTTTGCTGCCGGAGTCCTGATCTCGTACTGGATCGATTATGGGACCGTCGCAGATATGAAAGTCTCTTCAGCACAGTGGCAGATTCCTGTGGGTCTGCAAATGGTTCCAGCCGCTGTGCTTGGTCTGGGTCTTATCACTCAGAAAGAAAGCATCAGATGGCTTGCGAAGAAGGGTCGCTATGACGAGGCTTGGGACGCCTTGACATGGATGCGTGCTGATGATGGGCCCGAAGTCAAGGCTGAATTCAACGAGATCAAAACTGGTATCGCTGAAGAGTATCGTGCGAGCGAAGGGTTCAAGAAGCGCGAGCTACTCGAGCCAGCAAACCGATACCGTCTTCTCCTTGCCTTTGGCGTTTTCTTAGGACAGCAATGCACCGGTATGACAGCACTTGCGTACTTCGGACCACAATTCTTCAAACTATTGGTCGGAGCTGGCAACAAGAATCTGCTCATTACGGGTCTCTTCGGCGCCGAGAAATTCATCGCTGTCTCGACGTACATCTTCTTTTGCTCGGAGTGGTGGGGACGCAAGCCCACGTTCTGGATCTCGGCTCTGCTCATGGCTTGTTGCTTCGTCATTGTCACGGTCGTGAACAAGACCACCCCAGCTCCGGTCAACAATCAGACAACGAGCGCTGGCATTGCGACAGTCGCCATGATCTTCATCACCAACTCCATCTATCAGTTCTCGTGGGGTCCACTCCCATGGCCATACGCTGCAGAAGTAAGTCGTTCGGACGGAAGTGATAACCCGATACTTATCCAACACACCATCTAGATCTTCCCCTCCCGAATCCGCGAAATCGGAACCTCAGTCGGCGTCGCTACGCAATGGCTCTTCAACTTCCTCTTCTCGCTCGTAACGCCTTACATGATCGCTGCATGGGGCTCCTACACCTTCCTCTTCTACGCATGCCTGGACATCATCATGGCCATCTTGGTCTTCATATTTCTGAAGGAGACAAAAGGCCGCACGCTGGAAGAGATGGAAACAATCTTCCACTCCAGAGCTGCGTTCGACAACGAGGCGGTGAGGAGGAAGGCGATTGAGAATTTGGGCGGGAGCGATGATCACTTCACGACGGTTGAAGAAGTTCCGCCGAAAGCCGATAGGAGGGACGTCGATCCTTGAGCTGTGTATACAGGAACGGCTTGGTGCTGCGATTGAGAGCAGGTTTTTTGCGCATATTGCGGAAGGAAAGCTGGGACAGTCCGGCTTTGGAAATTCTGTTCATCGACGTTCTATGCGTGCTGAGCCCTCTGCAACAACATCTAGTACCATCTACTTTTTTTTTCATGAGGTGAGTGATCTACTGATTCTCTTTCGCAGCCCCTCAAACTAGCATCTGGACAATGCATATTCATCAGCACGAGCTCCTTTAAAGTCGATATGTTGCTGGACGATTCGCTCAATGGCAGCAGTATGAAGCTTAAAACCATCCAGAGCACAGGTCTCGAACTTCGGTCCGATTCCATGTCCCGATGGCTTATTCCGCTTCATAATACCGACTTGCAATTCCTCATCGAAGGCCCAGCTCTCGTTTGAGCCACTTCCCAGCACCAGCTCCGGCGCGGGATAGCGCGTCACTGACAAAGCGGTAAGAAGGCTTTCCGTCAGATTTTCTCTGATCTTGGCATCTAGTTCCGAAGTGATGTGGTCGCCGACTGCACTCTTCAGCTTGTGCAGTCCCCAGGCTGATCAGGTCTTGCTCCAGTTCGCTCCTACACATTTGCAGATATCGAATTCTGCTATCACATCATATCGTATGGTATGGTATGGTATAAAAAAAGCGGCCATCATCTACCTATAAAGTACATGTCGCACTCAAATTCCGAGTCATACCGAAAAAAAACATCCCCCACAGCGCCCTGCTGTACGCAACAAATCCTCTCCTCTCCTCATCAAAAACTATCCATCTCCTCGCGTTGCCTCAAATACTCCTTAGCCAAAGAATCCCCACCCTTAGCACTGAGACTCATCCAATGATGCGCAACACACATAGTCACGGGATCGCAACGATTGGGATCCTGGTTCTTCCTCCATTTGCCTTCCAACTCCTCCTTGAAAACATCACGAGGTCGAGAGAAGGGGGATATGACGTGTTCCATGAGTTCGGGGTGTGTGAGGTATAAAGTAGCTAATTCGCGTTGGGCCACGATGTCGCCTTCTTTGGCTGCGATTTGGTAGAGGTAGGCGGCGTCAGCCATGCTGTAGCGGGCGATGTCTTCGGCTGATGGGGTGCGACTTGGTGCTGAGAATGTGGCGGAGTCGCGTTGTTGTTGGGCGGTTGATGACGATCGACCGTGGCCGCGGTTGTTGGAGTGGTAGTTGATGATGCTGTCCGCCGTTTCGACCATGATGCCGCGGACTTCGTTTTTGAGGCTGGTGATGGCTACCGCAGCGTTCGTGAAGGCTTTGCCTTGTGACGTTCCTTGTAATGTTGCTGATGGTAGCAGAGCAGCTATGTATTGCAGGTCTCTGAAGATTGTTGAAGGCCGTAGTGAGCTCTTGGAGAAGACGCTGCGGAAGCCGGTCACGCTGGTCTCATTTGTGGATAGCACACTGGCGTCGTTCTCAAGCTGCGCATCTCCAGAAGCGTGGCGCATAAAAGAGGCTGACGGAGACCCACGTGTACCTTGTTCCATCATGTATGGCAGAAGCAGCTTATCGATGTCGTAAATATGCCCCAGCTTTGCTGCCGGGTTCGAGGTGATTGAGAACTTCTGCAGCAGGATCTCGAAAGCAGTCTCGAAGCCAAAGCGAACAAAGGGCGGCTTCAAATTAGACACTGAGTCTGCTGTAGGTGTCTGTGATCCGATGCTTGAGTGCAAAGGATGCAAAGTATGGAAGTGGCGTTCGGTCAGCTCCTTGCCCAGCCCAGACCAGAATGCGTTGTCAGTCTCGCTACCCTCCTTGAAGAGCACTGATGTCAAATCACTCAAAAGAAGGCTCGTTACTCGCTGTCGTAGTCTCTCAATCGCCTGCTGGTCAGGAGTAAACGGGATCGATGTTTGCAGCTTTGATATGAATGTGTCGTGTGCAGCCTGGGTCTGTGAGGATACCACACTGGTTGCGCTAGAAGGAGAGTCGACCTCTGTCATTGCCGGAGACCAGAAAGGCATCGATGACTTGTTCGTCAAGGTGGGGCTGCGAGAATCCAGAAAGTCTCTTGAACTGACGCTTGAAAGAGTATGAGATGTACTGGACAGAGCGTCATTGCTACGCAGTTGGTTGGAGAACGGCAAGTAATGTGGCTGCGTGGTGTTGCTGTGAAATCCAGAAAGTAAAGTAGGCCGCCTCTGGAGTGTCGGTGTCTGACGGCCAGGTCCGTCCCGAGCAAAGAGCGCAGAAGTCCAGATCGGGGAGTTGTCACTAGTGTTGGTGATCTGATCGACGCATTTGCGGATCTCCATGCAAAGCTTGTGCAGACGCTCTTCTCCTCGGCAAAGGTTGTCAATGTTGTTTCGATCCATCCATTGCTGGGTACCTTTAGCCTGGTCGTCACTCAGCTTATTAGATCCGCCATGTTCAGGCTTGGCGCTCAGAATGTCCAGAATTTGAGCCTCGGTCTTGAGGTGGAGATTGGTGGACGGAATCTTCGATGTGCTCCAGTGTCGCAAGGGAGGCGACATTCGTGGTCTTGTTTGCCGCTTGCTCCTTCCCATAACTCGTAGAGCGTTTGCTATCGAGCGCGCTTCATCGTACGCAGCAGAAGTACGGGCGTCTGCAACATACCACATCTTGTCTCGAAGTCGCTCGCAGCTGTCCAAGACGGGTTTGATGTTGCTATTGCGAAGAGCCTGCTGTGTCTGTGTGGATATTGACCACTCCTCGCAAATCCGCTGTAGCTCTGTGCTTTGATCAATAGACTTCTCGGAATTTAGCTTCGCACGTTCAATCACGGTCCGGAGTGCATCCATTCCTCGCTCTTTGAAAGCGAGCGAATGTAATTCCTGGCGCTGTTGGAACCAGCGATGAGCCCCAACAAAATCCGAACGACTCTGGCTATCCTGGATCGCCTGCTCGAAAAGAGCTTCTAACGCCTTCCATGCTGGGGTTGGCTGTGACGAGAATGGCTGCAGCTCGGTGTGAAACTTGTACAGCAGCACCTCAACTGCCTTAACGCAAGATACGAGTTCAGGCGAGACGATGTTAGTCATGCCTGCGGAGTGATCGTCCTTGCGTTGTCGCAAAGATTGGACTTCGGAATATTTCTCATGCATTGGTGTCAGCTTCGGAGTGTCAGTATGCACCTCAAAGACTTCCCAGAACTCCCTTGATGAGGTCACTCGTCTGGTGGCAAATTCTTCAAGCTCGAGTGAAGCTTCACGAACGATGTGCTCATCAGAGATGGTGTCGTCCAAGGCGTCAGCTTCCGTAATGCTGAGGTTTTGCACATCCTGTGAAACAGAGCTCGTGAGCTGAACAGGTTCAAAAGCTTTCTCATGTCGGAAGAGCGAAAAGCCAGAGATTGACGATGCTGACGACTGCAGTCCAGACTTGTGATAGTCGAGATCAGAAGACACTGAAGCGGGACGGCGTTGCGGATAAAGAGCAAATAAAGCGGTCGTGACATCTCTAATCGAGACCGCCATAAAGCTTGCGGAATTCTTCGGCGAGGTACGAGTAGTGGCAGGCATGTTGACAGCACCTAGAGTCAATCCCTGGAACCGCAGCATGATGGCGTTCACTCGAGTTACAGTTTGTGGTGAAATCGAATTGCCGTGTTTCCTGTATCGGGTCAGCGAATGATATGTATACAGCTTGCAAGAATAGCAACCAGGAATATGCGACATCAAAGACAGCCTTTTGCGCGCGCATAGCCGCTTCTCGCAAGATTCGTTGTCGTGCAATCTCAGAAAAGTAGTGGTCAGTCAGTAGACCATGAGCCTGTTACAGTCAGTGAAGTTCTTTGCCCATGACTGGCATCAAGGATTCAGCTTACCTCAGGAAGAGCCAAGAGATCCATGATGAAGGACGAAAACAACCATCGGGTAACGACAAACGCTGGAAAAGCACGCTGATGACCAGGAGAGTCTCGAAGTTGATCGAAAATTGCATGACATAATCTCAATGCTCCAGGTGGTAGGACACTTGGTATACTCTGGTCGCCGAACAAGTCAAGAAGGTTGTCCGCAGCCTGGACATAAAAGGCCTCAGTGCGGGCTTCGTCCTCGGGAGACACCTCGGATCGGCCTTCAACACGTGCCCGGAATGTCTGTTTGCTGGGCTGCTCAAGTAGGAATGCTCCCTTTTGGAGGGTTTGTAGAACCCAATCTTCCAGCCTGTCCTTGCCCGGCCATGGCAGGAGTGAGGACCAAATATCGAGGACATGCGGAACAATTCTCTCGCTGCCTGGTTTCTGCTCCGATACCAGCCTGGCACACACTGTGGCCCAGACATCTGTGATCAAAGGTTCCTCGACCAAGTCCTTCTGGGAGAAGCCACTGGAAGCAAATATCAGAGTTTCCAAGGCGCTTCCGTAAGCATGCGAAGTCAAAAGGTCCACTTGTGCGTCAACAATGAATCCTAAAGGCCTTGACGTTCGCGATATTGACCTTGATGCTGTGCCAAATATGGAATCCGAGGACCTTGCAGTATTCCGCTGCGGAAGGAGGCCTACAAGCTCCTTGTGTGACAATGATGCTAAACGGTCAGCCATAAACGTGCCATCGTGTCTGACTTTACTTAGAAAATCTATGATGGTAGTCCTGGATGATGCCGATAAATTGTCCAGGAACGTGCTTGTAGGCCTCAATTCCCCGGTCGATCCTGGTGCTGCCTCCTGGACCGTGGATGAAGTCGGCCGGAACGCATCATCACAGGCATCTTGGAATGCATGAAGGAGGTTGGCGAAGCTGTTCTTATCTTCGGACTTGATACATTCCGCCAAGGTGTGTTGGACCGAGTGAGCTGCTCTGGACAGACGTGCAGTCTTCGCCGCCGCTATTTGGAGGTAATGGAGGTTTTCTTGGGCCTGGATAGCTCTGCGCTTGTGGTACTTCTGCAGGCGCAGAAGATGGCTGATCTCAGATAGCGGCGCCATGTATCCTGGTTCCTCGGCCTGTTGGTTGGTCTGCCGCGGTGGCGACGGCATACGAATAGATCGCTGTGGCCGTGGCATAAGAGGAGCGGCCATTCCTGCACTTGTCTGCTCGTGAGATGGTGGGTCATCTTGGCCATCCGAGATGGGTTCGAACAGGCACGCTGCTTTGAAGGCCATATCTGGAGGTGGCGGAGGTGAGAGTGATCCTGGCCTTGGCAGAGTGGGAGTGGAAGATGAGAAGAAGAGATATCGCGGCGTGCCATCCAGAGAGGAGATGCCCGGTGTCGAAGACCTCGAGGCATGGTGCGAGCTTAGAGGTTGTACAGCTGCATGACTTTTAGCGTCCGTCACAGATGCCAGCATTGCCAGCACACAGCTGCATATGCTTCGGTGTCTAAGCGGCAAAGGCTATGGTGAGCAGCAAACTACGGGTCAGAGAAAACACGTACAGCAGGCGCGATCCTTTTCACTATCATCTGGTGGCGAGCCAGTGTCAAGCATCGCTTGAGCACCGGCGGGATGGTTGGACAGCAGAAAGTCGGTGGCTTCATTCACTTCATCGCAATTTGGCCGACGACGAGGTCCGGGGACAGGCGCTGCAGCAAGCCGCACGTCGTTCCGACAACACACCGGCGCAGGCGATGCGAACTCCGCGCGTGAGCGTACAGATTCCTGCAGGGTGGACTTCGTAATGCGACGTGATGCGCTGCGTGTGCGTGTGCGTGCAAGCAGGAATATTCAAATCTCGTCTTGTCCGGTGGGCGCAGCGAGGCAAGGCAAACGTCTGTATGGCGGAAGATGACAGGCGCACGCACGAGAGGCTACCATGTCGTTGATGATGAAGACTGGCGGAGCGCACTCGCCTTGTCGCAGGTGTGGGGGCAGGCGCGGCAAGTCTCGAGCATTGCCTTGTGCCGAGAACAGGCCCCAGAATCTCATCAGTGTCTCGTCAATGAGCCGCGGAAGATGCGGTCCAAACAGCATGCATGAATGCTGTCACTTGCCCGCCGTCGTCATTGGGCAGAGCACTCTTGACAACGCAGAGCATCACATGGCGTGGTTGTTTCGCACGAATCAGAGCTGCAGCGGTCTTGGAAGCTGCATGTGGCCAGTGAGACACGCAGTAGAAAAGGTCGCTATGATGCGGCCGGCCAGCTAGCCATTAGCGGCAGTCACAGTTGTCAAAGAATCCCGAAGCCAATTGAGACGACTCGACATCGATTACACGGGGAGAACCGATGGAATGCTGTGCTGCGACAGCGTTGCTAGATCCAAAAGCTGTCGTGGGACCATTTTGCCTCACTACTTGAGACGCACAAAGCTGCTGTTGCCTGTCGTACCCAGCTCATGGGGTGTCGTTGGATCTGGACCTGGGACCTGACGGATTGGGCATCACGTGTAGATCTTCGTGCCCAGCTCTCAAACTTTTCTCAGCTTCAGATTGTGCAGGTCTCATCGTGGCCATATTCTGTGTTTGGGCCTCTTCCCCTTCAGCATCAGCCCGTTCGTGGTCAGTGCCGAGAAAAGCGTCTGGCATGCGAACAGCGCATGAACTTTGAACAACCAGGCTGCAGGGACGATTGCGAGTCATGTCCAGGATTAGCACACAACCCTCAACCCATGAACCTAGAAATGAAGCTCTGTGCTGGCAAAGGTGTCCAATGCGAGGCGCGCGTTATCGCAGATCAGCTCAATGTTCACCGACTGCACCAGTCCCGATGGCCCAATGCCAACGTGAAAGACACTAGCGTGCTGCGGAAGGCGAGTATATCTTGTGGTATTTCTGGCAGTCGTCGAGTTGGCTTGGCATGGAATAACATGCGGTTCCCCGGTGCGAGGAGAAGACGAAGCGAATGGCGGCGGCGATGTGACTATATAAGCTTTGCTCGTGGCAAGCAGTCTGACGTTACTCCGCGCATCTTGTATTTCACTGTGCTGACCATCGAAGACGGTTCACAGTGTCGAAATCCGTGAAGGATCAAGCCTTGTTGGCTTGTCGAATCGAGTCGTGGAGGGAGGTGATGTAGCATTCGCGATGTTTCGGTGCAAGGTGGGTGCAAGAACTCGGCGGATGATACTTGGAATAGTATTCCAAGTGGTGAAGGACGGAGACTTGTTGGCTTGTAGAGAAGATCCATGGCCAGAGGTGATGTTGTTTAACGTTTATCTGGAAGATAGGAAAGAGCTCGACAGACAGCACAACAGGCAAGAGCGAGAGGACCCACCAGGTCATATCGCACTGATCACATCAAGACATACGAACAGCAGAAAGACTCACGCTAACGCTACGATACGATACGTGAAGGGAGAGGGAGATGGTGGAGAGATGTGCATCGGATGAGTGCTGCTTCCATTCATCCATTCCGGTAGCTGACTGGCACAGCACCGACATGAGACTGCGATCTCCATCAAGCTCTGGATCTCGACCAGTTCTATTCCTCCCAAAGCCGCCCAATGCCTCCCAGAACGCCATCCCATATGCATAATCATAACATCATTAAATCCACATGACTGGCAGCAACCCTCACACAGCGATCCCTTGCTGCTCAGCAGCAGCATTCCCGCCTACAGCCTGCAAGTACTGCAAGATAGAACAATCATTACAACTGATCAGTTTCTGCAGATCATTGACCTGCTGCTGCAGCGCATTCACAGCATCAATCGCACCATTCCTCTCGGCCTCAAGTTCCTTAATATACGTCGCCGCAGTAGCAATGATCATAGCTTTCGAAGGTAATCTTGGCGGTAGAGCAGAGTCTTCGACGTCGGGAGAAAATACGTATGCGTTCTTAAGACTGGGGAGGGAGAGTCGGAGGGATTCAATTTGGGTGTTGAGGTTGTCTCGGTAGCGGCGTTCGATGATTGTATGAGGGATTCTGCGGTGTGGTCGGGTTGGTCTTTGCGGGTTGGTGGTTGTGGTTGATGTGGGGACTGTGATTGGGGGTTTATCGTCTGCTGAGGCTTCTGAGTCGCTGCTTGTTGAAACTGCAACCGAGTTGGTGCCTGGTGTTCTTGGGAAGGTTATGCTGGAGTCCGAAGGTGTTCGTGGGAGTGTTGGGCAGACAATGTTGCCGGTCTTGCATTCGTCCGGGATGTTGCCGCTTAAGCATTGGAGAGATGGGAAGCAGTTGACTATTTCCGTTGTTTTTGAGTCCATGTTGTGGTCAAACGGTGAATTTGTGAATCGTTGAGCGATGGTATGAGTGAGATGGATCAATGCTCTGGTTGACTGTCCGCTTGCACGATTGATCTGTTGATTTGTGGTGTACGTATGGTATGAGCCATCTACCTACAAGAGCGAAGGATCGACATATATGTATCCAGACCGTGATATGAAGCCGTGTCGGCAAGCATGGGCAAGTCTCACGATCAGCATCCGGCGGCACTCGGAGCGGGTGCAACAGCCCAGACACAAAAGCGCTCAGGTCCATACGAGGATCATGTTGAGTGGATACAGTGCATCCATCAATCATTGGCTCCAGGTGTCTTAGTCAGTGTAATAATCGATTAAACAGTTGTTCTTGCAATCTCTGGTGGCGTGACCTCACCCCATTCCTCGCAACAAAGCCTGGCGACCTCCGATTCCGATGTCGTCAGCTCTCGGTCTTCTCACCGTCACGCCATGGCGTGAAGCGCATCATCAGCAGTAATGCAGCCTGACGGAGACGTTCGCTATTTCAGGCCATGTTTCGTATTGCAACTTACCACTTTTGCATTTGCGGGTGGTCACAGGATCTATCAGCTTGCCGATGGAACGATGACTGCCTTGAACCTGACCCAGCCGTATCAAGAGATTACGTCGATGAGATCCTCAATGGAACTGCTCCTGGAGTCTCTGTGTCAAGTGAAGAATGTGCTTCTTGCCTGTTAATCGTTGCTGTGAGAAGCAGATGATCTCGGATGAACCATAGCTGGGCTTTTATGCCTCTTTGGTGAATGTATCATACGTAGTGACGGCATGGAGCATGGCAATCTCGTTCTCGGCATTGTGCTGTAATGCTCGGTGCTGGGCGGTGAGGTCAATGCAGATATTGAATTGCTCGAAGGTGTTATGGATCGAATTGCAGATGAAGCTGGAGCATGCCTCCGTGCGTGGTCGAGCAGATCGAGGTCGAAGTAATGTCCTTTCCCGAATCAATCTTCAACCTGTAAAAATTTATGCTTGGCCTCCCTCTACTTCTGCTTCTTATCTGAAACTATCAGTGTAAGTAATCCTGCCATGAGCCTCCTCTTTCAAATGGTCCCGAAGTCGGGCGTGGTGTCAGAGAGATGCGGGCAGATTTGGGACAGGTACACAGAGGTGTGAGTTGTCTCTGCTGCTGTCAATAGTCAAGCCTAGCATATCTGTATCCTGCGCAGATTTGCGCGCGTGTCTTGTGCGAGTTGCCTTGATAGATTCAATGGTGTGGATGTGGCCTCCTGCTCTTGCGCCTCTAAGCTCCGCCTCAAATTCGCCGATACTGATAATGCAGGCCACCATATAGTTCGTCCTCGAAGGTACCTTAATAGTGAATGATGTTCATTGAGGATGCGAAAGACGGAACCAAGCCTAAGCATCAACATCATGACGTGGTATCTCACCACCTCTGCTGAGGAGTTCAAAGCGCTTTCTCGGCGGAGCAACCGAACTCTCTGGCTTTCGCTGCGCTGTAAAGTAGCATCGCCGTGATCGCTGCGATTTGCCGCATTAGTGTTGTTGGTTGCGTGGTCAGAATTGGCACAGGTCTGCTAGAGGGGTGAAGTCTTGGCATCACAGCCAATGTCTGCTGCATCGCAATGGCGAGGTTAACTTCTCATGCTGTGGGTGAAGCTCCCAAATGCAAATCCTGTTTAGAAGCTTTTCCCAGTCCTGCTCCTGTATCAGTACCCTGGATTACTCGCCAGCTTCAAATCCAGTGCAGCTCGCATCGCGAGGTAGGCAGATGAAGTCTCTCAGACTAAGACTCTCATATCGCCGCTTATCCTACCATAATCTATCATCCTAGCATGCACCAAACTGCTCACACAGATTGGAATGCTATCGCTAACTCCTCCATCAATTGGAGATTCAAGTGCAAGACAATGCAGCAACACCCACTCGCGACTAACCCCCAAAGAAGCGCTCATGCAAGGCTTCATAGCGTACAACACCATATGTTATCGTACTCGCTCTTCCTTGAAGTCCTCAGCAAAGCCTGTGCATTCCATTATAATTTGCCTGAATCCTGGCTCATCGACGTGTCAAGTGCTCACTCGTATCAATCTACTGGGCCTTGGCAGCGTTGACCTTGCTCTTGAGAGTGGCAGACGCATCTTCGGCGAAGAAGCGCGCGAAGAGTGGCTGAAGGAGAGAGCGGAAGACAACTTGAGCGCCACTGTTAGGTATCAGCAAAAGCTCGCGGCGCCCAGATATGGCTGATGAGTGTAAAATTGCAGCGCGAGAACAGCAATTCTGCGATAGGTCGCGCATTGTTGCCAGTGCTGAGATTGGAAGCCATGAGCATGGGCAGAACTTACCCAGTCTGTGGGAGAGCCATCCAGAGGACAAGGATGAACTTGAATGTGTAGTAGAATGGGAACCAGTAGACGGCGTTCACGGCAGACTCGACGACAGTCAAGAAAGCGTAGACAACCCAGTACTACAGATAGTGATCAATATCAGGCTGTTACGCATGCCCAGGCATCTACTTACTGTGAGCCACTGAGTGTCGTCGGCCTTGGTGCTGCTGAACAGCGCATCGAGGGAGTAGTATGCCGGAAGGGCGAAACCAGCGGTGTTGACCAAGAACTCGCCGGCAATGTTAAAGAAGACGAGGAAGAAGTAGAGGGCGCCGAGTCCGAGGACTACGTAGACCTTTGGGACGCTGGTCTGCTGCTCGAAGTTGTTGAGGGCTGGGTATTTCGAGAGCTGTGAACATGGTCAATTTGCGATCGAAGACATCGCAGGCATGTAATGTTACCTCCTTGTCGAGCTGTGAGAGGTGGTATTGTGCCCTGGAGACATTATCAGCGCCCGCTCAGCGCCAGCCGCCTGACCGATTATGTTGAGGAGACATACCGCTCCTGGACGGAGCCCGATGCGTTTCCTGAAGACATGGCGGTGTGGAGGGTGGTATGCGCAATGTGCTCTGAAGCTGGCAGCGTGCTTTGCGACTGTGTCCTAGGCAGATGAGGTGCAATTGATGGGTGGCAGTGGTAATTGCAGGTCGTGGAGGAAGCAGAGCAAGCTTGGAAGCACCCTTGGAATTGTGACGTTGCTGGCTTTGTGCGGGAGGGTGGGGACTTACTTGCTGTGCGGATCGCGTATCGTTGAAGATGTGGCTGAGGATCCGTACAGATCACCAGCAAACAGATGGTATTGATGATATTGATGGCGAGAGGGAAGGCACGACTAATACGAGCAATCAATTGGCAGGATCTCTGCAAGTCACTCGTGATTCTCTCAATCACTCGCAAATCATCATCCGCACGCTGTTTCAAGTTGTGAATGCGACTACGGCGGGCTGCAGCGGCAGCTTCGGCAAATTCGCAGCCTCAGGCTTTGCCAAGAGAACAGCTGCATCTCGTTGCCGTCCCGGCGGACTTCTTGTTTTGATGTAATCAACACAGCGAGTTTCATCTGGACTTCCGCCTCTGACCACCTCGCACCGCCGACGACTGCTCCCCCGTCCACCCACCACCACCCGGTAGCAGTAGTGCTAGCCGCGCCGTACTAACCACAGCAATACCCTCGAGTCCGCGTGCGCCGACCTCATCGCCCGCGGCGCAGCCCATCGCCTGGAGTCCTGGACCCGATCTGCAACAACAATCGCAGCCCTACCTAGCATTCCACAGCCTATATGCCGTCTCCTCCTACAGGTATCGCTCTCCACTCTTCCTATACCATACGCTTCCACTGCGAAGACACTCGCGCTTGGGTATCAGCATGAAGTTGGGCGTCGGAGCACCTCGCTGACCAGCCACATCCAGAAGTAGCGAAATCATAACATTGCCTCGACATCAACATCAACAATAGTGTAAACAACCTCGATACATCCATACCTTTACACATGTCGGCTCGCAATAGCCAGCGACCCGAATCACGGGCATCGACCACCAGCGCCACCTCGCATCACAATGGCCCACCGACGCATGATGCAAAGGCTGCCCATCCCGCATATATGACCCACGAGCCCGAGCCTGCTCTTCTACAGTATCAAGCCAGCATGGCACCGCAAGCCATGCCACAATACGAAGCAGCGCAGCCCATACAGCAACCTCCTCATGGCCATCCTCATGCGCAGCCCGTCCAATTTCCCATGCCACCGCAATACACCGCTCATGATTCGCCATATATGCAGCAGGATATGCACTTTCAAGGTCATCATAGGATGGGCTCTGCGCCTATAGCTGCTGCTGCCGATCTTCATGAAGACAAGAGGAGGAAGGGTTCTGCTGTCACTGCGACCAATGACAAGGAACTGCGCGAGATGCTTGCTAAGAACGAGGGTCGTCCGCTGCGAGAAGTTGCCCAGGAAGTCATTCAGAAGGAGCGCACGCCAATGGCCGAGAAGACAAAGCAGCTCTTTGCCATGCTTTGGTGAGGAATTACTCATGAAATACGAATTGCCCTCCTTGCTAACAATTTTCAGGCTTCGAGCTGTGTGCAAACCGGCAAAGACTTCCGTCCCTCGCAACCGAGTCTACTCTCAGTATGCCACCCGCTGTGGTACTGAGAGAGTGGTTCCCCTCAACCCGGCTTCCTTCGGCAAACTGGTACGAGTGATCTTCCCAGGAATTCAGACTCGTCGTTTAGGTGTAAGAGGTGAGAGCAAGTACCACTATGTGGATCTCGCGCTCGAAGATGAGCAACCGAATGGACCTCCCGCATGGCAAGGAAGTCATCTCCAGATGGACAGCCGGCGACGATCGCAATCCTCGAGTACTCAGCAAATCGACTTTAACAACATTCCTCGCTTGCAAGCCGACACCGCCGCATTCCCGACCACCGATGGCGCATTCGATCTTCAATCAGCACTCCCTCCCACGCCCCGAGGTCCAGCATCAAAAGGAAAGTCCTTCCTCTATCCCGAAATTCGTGGCTACGAACGTGGAACGGCGACCGCCATGACATATTCGCACACGCTCCGGTTTCCGTCGAGCAACATCCCAATGTTTACCGAGAACGAACCTGTCAATCTACCACCCATACAACCTCATCTACCAGAGCGTACCGACGTGGACACTGCAGAGGCATTGGCAGCCTTGTACAGAACTCACTGCACTTCACTGATTGACAGCATACGATTTTGCAAAGAGAAACAGTTCTTCCGACTGTACACATCATTCCATGGCACTCTTACTGTTCCTGTACAAAAATTGTTCACACACAAAAATCTGGCACCTTGGATAGAACAGTGCGATCTGGTCATGTACAGGACGATGGTGCGCTTCGTCAGCCGACTGACACTACAAGCAGCACCTGCTGTTGTCATTAATATCTTAAGCAACATATCAACAACCTTACACGGTCACATCGCGAAGACCTTTGCAAATCAGCCTCCACACGTCCTCGACGCCAAGCTTCGACCTGCCACCATTTTCGCTGGCCTTCTGCATCGCCTTATAAGGGTCAACCAGTCGGCCCACGCTGCAGCAAACTTGCTCACCATCGACCAAAACAGAGAGCAAATGTGGCAAGAGTGGTCAACAATGGTCAATCCAAAGCGCGTCATGGAGGCTGAACTCCCCGACTGTGGATACGAAGAAGTTCACAGAATCATGACTACCGAAATGCGAAATCTGCTTGAACCAATCTCGGCACCCAACTTTGAGGATGCATCCTTCTACAACTTCGAGGCTACAAATGGAGACTTTGCGGCATATCTCCAGAACCAGACCGCACCTTCTTCGAGGAACGGTCCTTCCCAGGTGTCGGCAGAGAATGTATTGGATCGATGGTCTGCATTCATCTCATCACTGCCGGCGCGCTTTCCGGATGCGCCGGCTCGGACGATCCTGCACTGCATCTCAGCGATCGGCACGGCATCGATTCGAGACATTACCATCGTCGGCGGTCTTTCATACAGCTACTGGTGGGTGCTGAAGATGTTCGTTGACGAGATGGCATTGTGGCTTGCGGAAATGGGCGGGTTCCTCGAATCTGTCGAAGGAGAGGTCACGCCAAACGGTGGAAACATGTATCAGTCGCCAACACTGGAGAACGGCCAACGCAGTCATAGCGGAAGCCGAATGAGCAGCATGGGCCCTGGCGCATCAGGAAATGGCAACGACGCGGCTCAACAGTCTCTGTTCATGACAGATTCACAACAGCCGAACTCCGCACCTCAGCAGCGCCAGTCGCAAGCTCATGGCCTGCCATTTCAACCTCAACTACAAACAGCTGGCTCAAAGTCCCAGCTCCAGCAGTCCCAAGAGGCTGACATCGACGATAGCGGCATTGTGATGGACGACGACTTCACCAAATTTGCCGTTCCAGGCTCCCATTTCAGCATGGAGGGCTTGGGCACCGCCGGTATGAGCGTCGATCCTCTTTAAGCAGCCACCACGCCTTTAGCATCAAAGAGGCGGAGATTGGCGGCTACGAAGTATACGTATGGAGTATGATAAGGCGGCGGCGGTAGAACGGGACCGCAAAATGGATGCGGGAGTCTTTTTGTGTTTTTGCTTTGTTTATACCACTGGGACGTTTACGGTAGCGAGCGAGAAGGCGCTGTGTTAGTATAATAGGCGCTGGGCGGCGGCGGCGGCAGATTTGGCAGCGCACGAGTATTGTTAGGTCTGGATCTGCCTTGATGTCGAGGTTGGGGAAACACATGCGATGCAGGAAGCGCGCTTAACTTGGGTAGGGTTTTGTCAAACTCCTGGTCTGGGTTGGATTGGATACCACTTTTGCGCGGTGCCGCGTCGCGTTTGTAGATGTCGTTTGAGAAGATGTTACTCTGCGAGACTTTACATTTCCGCTATCTCATTACCCTTATCTATCTTCGGCCATGATCATTGCGAGCAAGCAGAGTCAGTGCTGCAGCACTTACTACAGCCGGCGCGTACTGACTTGCCATCTTTCTCATCACAGCACATCCAAAACCACCATACCATAAAATATAATACAACATCCAGCAAAAACCTCCATGCCACATCCAGCCAGCCAGTTCATTAATCATCGCTCAAATCCTCCTCCCATAGCCAGACACTCATCCCACCATTAATCACACCCACTCTCGCCCCGCCCCTCCCCTCCCCTTCCTTTAGATCTGATCAATCCTTCTCCCCCATCCCAAACTCCCCCATCAAATCCTTCACTCTCACCCCCCTCCCTTCCGCCAACATCCCCAACAATCCCATCCCAATATCTTTAATCTCATTATAAGAATGCAGGAGAGAAATATGTTCTTGAATTCTCCCTTTTGCCGTCTCTAATGCGACCGAGGACTTCTGTTCTGGGGTGTACGAATCTGGGAAACAGTTTAGAAAAGAAGAACGAAATGTTTGGGAGGGTTTGGGTTTGGGTGGTTTTCTTTTTGGGTGGTTGATTGATTGACTTGCCTGGTATTGAGAGGCCGCTTGGAAGGGTTGAGCTGGCGATGAGGAGGGATTTTTCGGATTGCAGGGCTTGGAGGTTGGATTCGAAGACTTTGCGTTTGGAGTTTACGGCGAGGAGGATTATTTTTTCTGGGGTTGCGGGTCTGGGGGTTTCGTCTTTGCTTGAGGAGGTGTTGTTTGAATCGATGGGTTGGGAGTCGATGTCGGGGTTGTGGGTTTTGGTGTTGATGTCTGCTTGGGATTCGATATCGGCTTTGCGTTTTTTGCTGTTGATGTCTGCTTGGGAATCGTTTTGGGATTTGATTGGTGTTGGAGAGCTGGGTAATGGTGCTTCTGAGGATGGGGCCTCGGGTTTGGATTCGGCTTGGGAAGGCATGGTGTTCTTTGGTATCTCGGTAATCGGTGACGGCTTATATTGGAGTGGAGCTTTATTGAATGGTCGACGCGTGGACGTTTGGGAGACGTGTAGCCGGAGGTTTCTCGGGCCGACTGCCGGACAGGGGTCCTTCATTGCTTACCACTTGCGATCGAGAGAGATCAATCCTGCCTCCCAATCTCGGTCTCACGTTTCCAACCTGGCGAGGCGGCATCTCAAGACCAGACAAGCTGCGTCCATCCACGAGCGGCTATAGCCAACGTTCGAACCCAACCCGAGACCAGCCTTGCGACACGATGGCCACCTTCCGAACCAGACCGTCGACAGCGATAGCAGTAGCCACTGCTCTCCTCTACGCAGGCGTAGCATATGCGCATGGAGGACATGACGAGATTCCAGAAGGCGAGGCTATTTCAGCAGCACCGATTGACAGCACATTATGGGCGCACATCCTCATACAGTGCTTTGCCTGGGGTATCCTCTATCCCACAGGAATGGTACTTGGACTTGTACGATCAAGATGGCACGTACCTGTACAAATAGCAGCAACAGCTATTGCGATACCTGGGTACTTCCTTGGGCATGCGCACAAGGGAAGACAGTTTGGTCCCAACGTACACGCCAAGTTTGCGAATATCCTCATGCTCATCATGATTGTGCAGGTTGGAATTGGTATCTACCTGAAGATGCACATTGAAAGAGGATTTCTTGGAATCGTACGCAAGCAGTTGGTTAGAGGACATGGAATTCTGGGTGGTGTCATGCCTGTGGCAATCTGGGTGCAGTTCCTCTTTGGCGGTATTGCATCGCAAGGCTTTTGTCAAGGCGACCACCTCGGACAATGCCTGGCTCATTTCATCATGGGCTCAGCATTCATCGCTTATGGAATTGTCCTGACTATCATGCTATTGAACGGCCAAGCATTCCTTGCGCGAACCAGAAGAAGTCAGGAGTTCTTCGACAGCTTGGTCATTGCTCTGTGGGGATGTGTGAACACTTTCACCGAGCATAGATGGGGACAGCCGTGGGTCAAAAATGATTTGCAGCATACAAGTATGGGCATTATTTGGTGGGCCGCAGGACTGGTTGGTATCTGGCTGTCTCGAGACCGACAAGGACGACCAAAGCGAAACCTTATTCCCGCAATTGTCATCATCTTCACAGGCTGGGCCATGAGTGCACATCCGCAAGATTTAGTGCTCAGCACACATGTGCACTCGATCTTTGGTTACACGCTGATGAGCGCTGGTGGTGCCAGGATCATCGAAATTGCGTTTGTACTCAAGGACCGCAATACACTGGTCGGGCCAGATGGTGGTGATGTTGATGCCGAGATCAGCAGCTTCCAGTACCTGACACCATTCTTCCTTTACGCCTCTGGCTTCCTCTTCATGGGTGCCACAGAGGAGCAAATGAAGCTTCTTTCTGATGCGGGCGTTACCCATGTGGCGTACATCTTGATTCTGTACAGCATCTCGTTCTTACTCTTCCTATGTAAGTTGACGCGTTCCCGCTATTGCGTTCTATGCTGACATAATTCTAGTCGTACTCATGCTACTTCACCTTTACTCATCGTACAGCAATCCAACGACGAAGGGCAAACAAGCAGTGAAACTCGGCGACGAGGAAGTGCCGAGAGCGAATGGACACGCCAGACTTCCAACTGCGACCGACAGACAAGCGGCCGATGCTCAGGAGTTTGAGCTGGAAGGACTCATGAGCGATGATGACGAATCCGCCAACGGGCATCCGAGAGCGCGTTGAGATGTATAGAACGTTATAAGAGAAATTTAATGCGAGAACATTAGTAAACGTATGACAGCTCTTGAGTGCCATGTCGCCGACTCGGGCCTCCCCTTTATAGCGGCTACATGTTCTGGTCCTACTGACAGACTTCGCAGGAATGGCTCAGGAATGACGCTCGCGGAGCAATTCCAAGCACGAAGGCACAGCCTTATCTCCTCCGTGCTTTGCATAGCGCTTGGACTGTGTGTCCGAAGACCAAGATTTGGGCGATACACCGCTACATCTGTGTCACATACTGTGAGCCGCAATGAAGATCAACAAGAGTGAGTGCTCCTGCTGCGATACCAAGACTCCGTGATCTGTTATGACCCGATCCTGGGCGCGTGTTTCGCCAATTTTCATGTGACGAGACCGTAGACCGCATTCTCCTGATCCTGGTGCCAACGATAAGGTCGCTGGTGAGAACAGCACGAGATAACGAGGTGTGCAAGGGCAGCAGACATCTGTCACCAGTCTGGCTCTTGTTTCAAGGTAGCAGAAGTCCATGGGACTCGCGCCTTCCTCGAGTACTGCCGACTTCACTCTGGCAGTAGCCGTGATGGTCACGCGCAGCTAGCGGCAGCAATATTTGAGGCCGTGTGTCATGCTTCAATGCGCTCCCACACCCTCCCAACCACCGACGACGACACCACCACCACCACCACCACCACGGCACCAGCAATCTGCCCATCCTCTTCGGCATAACCGTCTTCCGCGTCTGGCGTGGTGGAAGCAGTCGCTCTGCCGCGCTGCCCTTTCCTGCCATCTGACTCTCGGCATAAGCAACGATTACCGCGGCGGACACAGCGTTCCAGCGACCCAACAGCTTCCACGAAGGCCTACATTGGCCCGTCACGCTAACTACATATAAGGACAGGCGCTTGAGCTTCACAGCAGCTTGCAATCGCTGTCAAGATGGCTGCTTGAACGACGGCAGAACTTCATCCTCTCCTTTCAACCCTCTTTCGCGTACTGGAGACGACTTCATACGCAAAGCATTCAGCCACAAACAGCAGCAAACACACACACTCCTCGCTAGATATCAAGACAAGAGACAGGTCCCGCGACAACAGGCTTCATAGGCACTCTGACGAGATAGACGATTCTGCCCTTTTTGCCACCCCGTGACGACGAGAAAGTTTGCAACGACATGGCTCGACATGACTCCCTACTCAGCAACGGCGAAGATAGCAGACCAAACCCTCGTGCATACATCACGCTCATTACAAGAGCCAATTACCTCGCTGGCGTCGTCATGCTGGCTCATACACTGCGAGAGCAGGGATCAAAGTATCCATTGATCGTGTTGTACACAGCTTCCCTGTCGGCGACTGCAGTCAAGGCTCTTGAACTCGAAGCTGAGCGGTCTGACTTGATTCTCCGCAAGTGCGACTTGCTGATACCACCAGCGCGCCATCAGCTCAACGTCGCCGTCGACCGCTTCACCGACACCTGGACCAAGCTTCGTGTTTTCGAAGCATTCAACGAAGGATTTGAGACCTTGTGTTATCTTGATGCAGATATGATGCTGTTTGGGAGCATGGACGGCGTCTTCGAAGATGCGGCAACGCTTCCACTCAACTTTGTTGCTGCTGTCCACGACTGCGTGTGCAGTCCCGATAAGATGCCATGGACTCCGGCCAGCTACACCAAAGAGAATTGCGCATTGACCCGCCAGACTCATCCGAAAGCTCTTCTCAAGTCACAGACGGTCAAGCCGGAAAGTATCGATACATACCACTTGTTCAACAGCGGCATGTTCGTATTTCATCCACGCAAGGAGCTCTGGAACGATCTGCTTGACTTCTTCACGATGACCGATCTGCTCAGCTCGTTCAAATTCCCCGACCAGGACTTCATGGTACACTTCTTCCGCAATCGATGGATGAGCCTCAGCTGGAAATACAATGCTGTCAAGACTATGGCATACCGCCACCAGAACATCTGGCGCGAAGAAGGCATTGTGTGCTTACACTACATCGTCGACAAGCCTTGGGCGAAGCGCATCGGTCAGGACGGAGTGGCGGGTTTCAAGAAGCAAGACGGAACGACGCATGGCTGGTGGTGGAGCGCGTACGAGAACTGGGTAGGTGTCAATGAGTGGAAAGCAAACTGATGGTGGCGCACATGCTAATTTCCATGCTTTCCCTTTGCAGATGGAAACCCGCCGTGCTCAAGGAGAGTTTGCCGTGGTCGATATCATGGCCAAGCACGTCGCGAACAAGGAGGACGAGCTTGGTGACGAAGAACGGCCTGATATGGGCAGCATCGGTGCCAGAGTGCACGATGTCACCAATCTGTCTCACCTCGGCGGTCGCAATTCCGTCGGCGAGGAGGATGCTTCGGTCAAGGTATCTGTGGCCGAGTTCCGTAAGGCGTGGTGAAGTATGTATCATAAGCATAAGCATTATTGCACGAGCTGGTCTCGGTGCGTGCGGTGGGGCTCTGGTGGACGTGGAAGTGTCATGTATTATAGTCAAGCCCAGAGTGCAGAGCGCGGTCATTGAATCGACCAGCGGACTTCTGCCATGAAAGCGCGATTATAATCAGTAGCAGTATGTACGATTGCAGTGGAAGCAAGGCCGAAGCACCATCTGGATATGTCACGTCACGGGAAGTGGCTCGTTGGTGTTGGTAGAGGTGTACAGACGTGCGGTCTGTTTGGTTGATACATGGTGAGGGCACGCAAGGATGGAAACCGATTATTCTAGCGCGTCTTGGCACTCTCATCCCTGCTCGACGGTGCCATTGTTTCGCGCTTGAACGACTAGCCCAACCGAAGCCACAGCACTCCACCACTCCAAGCACTGCTTGACCGCATCTCGTGACATTGCTGGGGTGAGATGCGATGAGATGGCGAGGTCGTGAGACACGGCCATCGCAAACAGCAGGCGGGCATGCGAGCAAACATGGCCGGCCAGCGCAGAGGCACACACGTGATCCACACAAACAAAGCAGTCCTTTGCCGCCATGATTACGCCAAACGGTGCGACGTGCATCACGCCGCTTGGCTTGGTCTCTTTGTGGTGGATTGCATGTCATGCCATGCCCAGACTGCAGCGCTGCGTGTGCCAGGGCCGGCCACGCCTTCCATTCCATCCCTTTCCTCGCCTCTCCGCGCGCGCCACGTGCGTACTGTCCCCTTCGCTCTTGCCTTACCTGACCTTCCCCTCCCTCCGCTGCATAAGACTCACGGCAGCTCCCTCTCCCTGCCTGTGGCCTTTCCTCCTCCCACGCGAAAGGCCGCTGCTCTGCCTTGGGTAATTGATGGAAAAAGCTCCTGCGTCCTCGTCCACCGTCCATGTCGGCTCTGAACAGCACTCGACGGCACCGCATGGCCCGGGAGGCCTGCCCGCTGCAGACGACAGCGGGAATGTCGACGATCCGCCGCCTATACCGAGCGCGGGCTCGTCCAGCAGGGAGTCTGTTCTCTTGAACGGCAAAGCCTGCGACGGAGCTCGCGATACCAAAACAACAAACTCGATCGTATCCATTGATGATATCGATATCACCAGCATCCACCATCACGCCCATACCCTGACCCACGCCTCCGTGGCAAGCCTCGTGGCGACCGATGTGCAGTGCGTTCTTTGACTTCCTGATCCGCATGATGCACGATACTGACCGTGTCCTAGAAACGGTCTCACGCACGCTGAAGTAAATAGGCGTCGTGAGAAGTATGGCCTGAATAGACTGGAGGCGTCGGATGGTGTCATCTGGTGGAGCATTCTGATACGCCAAGTCTCCAACAGTCTGACCATTGTCCTGGCCATTGCCATGGTCTTGAGCTATGCAACCATGGATTGGATCGAAGGTGGAGTCATCAATGCCGTCATCCTCTTGAACATCGTAGTCGGCTTCTTCCAAGACTACCGAGCCGAGCAGACTATTGCTTCGCTCCTAGCTCTTTCTGCTCCAGACTGCAGAGCCATCCGCGACGGGGGAAGTTTGCACACCATCAAGGCCGAGGAGCTGGTCCCAGGAGATCTGGTTCAGCTCGCGGTTGGTGACAAGGTGCCCGCCGATGTTCGTCTTCTAAACACCATCAACTTCGCCAGCGATGAAGGAATGCTCACGGGCGAATCGAAGCCCGCCTCGAAAGACGCCGACTTCATTTCCGCCGTCAAAGATGACTCGCCTGGTGACCGACAGAACATGGCCTTTTCTGCCACCACGGTCACTCGTGGACGAGCCATGGGCATCGTTGTAGGGACCGGAATGAATACGGTCATCGGTGAGATTGCTCAATCTTTGAAAGGCGAGAAAGACGAAAAGGACCTCCTGCGGCCCTGGTATTCGCGTGCGGGAAGCCGTGCATTGCACGCGCTGAAAGGTGCTCTTGGACTTCTCGGTACTCCACTTCAAGTCAAGCTTTCATGGTTTGCCTTATTCCTATTTGCCCTGGCCATCCTTCTCGCTATCATTGTCTTCTCTGCCAATGTCTGGGACATCGATGATGAGACCCTGATCTATGGGATCTGCGTTGCCGTAGCTGTGATCCCCGAGTCACTCATTGCAGTGCTGACCATTACCATGGCAGTGGGATCCAAAGCTATGGCGAAGGGTAACGTTATTGTCAGGAAGATGGGCGCCCTCGAGGCTATTGGAGGTGTCACGAACATCTGCTCTGACAAGACAGGTACCCTTACCCAGGGCAAAATGCTTGCGCGTAAGGCCTGGCTCGCAAGCGGCAGGACTATTCAGGTGGAGGATGCACAGCATCCATTTGATCCGACCGTAGGCGTCTTACAGCTAGAAGGCGGCAAGCTGCAGTCGGCGCAAGATTTGGTCGACGATCTTGAGCTTCGAACCTTCTTCCACGTAGCTGCGCTGTGCAATGTCTCCACCGTTGCGGAACCCAAAGACGATGAACCGCACTGGACAGCTACTGGCGAGCCGACCGAAATAGCTCTGCATGTCATGGCCATGCGCTGCGAAAGTGGTAAGGTGGACACGCTCTCGAGGCATGGTCTCCGACTCGTGACCGAGCATTCATTTGACAGTGAGATCAAGCGCATGACAGCGATTTACGAAGACGCCTCATCTGGTGCGAAGATCTGTTACACGAAAGGAGCGACCGAAGTCCTCCTGCCTCTGATGAATGTCAACGAGGCGACCGCAAAAGACATTCTGGCTCAGGCTGATGCCATGGCTACGGAAGGTCTCAGAGTGCTGTGTCTCGCTCATCGGAGACTGCCTCAGGATCTGAACGACACATGCGGTGACCGTGACCTCATGGAGCAGAATCTGGAGTTCATAGGACTGGTTGGCATCTACGATCCTCCACGACTGGAATCGGCCGGCGCCATCAAGCGTTGTCAAGCTGCTGGAATTACCGTCCATATGTTGACTGGAGATCATCTGAAGACTGCAACGACCATTGCTCGCGAAATTGGTATTCTTGCACCAGAAGTGGCCGGAAGCTCTTCGCCGAATGCTGTCATGACGGCTTCGGAATTCGACAAGCTGTCAGAAGCGCAGATGGATGCTATGAATACTTTGCCTCTGGTCATCGCACGCTGCAGCCCAGCAACTAAGCTCAGCATGCTTCACGCTCTGAAGCGTAGAGGCAAATACTGCGTCATGACAGGAGACGGAGTCAATGACTCCCCCGCTCTGAAAGGCGCAGATGTCGGCGTGGCTATGGGCATCAACGGCAGCGATGTGAGCAAAGAGGCTGCGGACATGGTTCTCACGGACGACAACTTTGCTTCGATCGTGTCAGCTATCCGTGAAGGTCGTCGACTTTTCGACAACATCCGGAAATTCCTTCTTCATCTTCTGATCAGCAATATCGCCCAAGTCATCCTCCTTCTCATCGGACTGGCCTTCAAGGATCGGAACGGCGTCTCTACTTTTCCCCTCTCACCACTCGAAATCCTCTTCGCCAACCTGGTCAGTTCGTCCTTCCTCGCCATCGGCCTAGGTCTCGAAGAAGCCTCCTCAGACGTCATGATCCGTCCACCGCACTCCCTCAAAGCTGGAGTTTTCACCTGGGAGCTGATTATCGACAAATTCATCTATGGAACCTGCATGGGTGGTCTCTGCCTCGCATCCTTCTGCATCGTCGCTTACGGCGTAGGAGACGGCGATCTCGGTGACGATTGCAACCACAACTACAACTCGACTTGCGACCTCCCCTATCGCGCCCGAGGCACAGCATACAGCATCCTGACCGTCCTGCTCTCCGTCATGGCATGGGAAGCCAAACATCTCGACCTCAGCTTGTTCAACATGTACCCTTTGGAACCCGGACCGCGAGCCCACCTGATGAAACTCTTTTACGCCATCACCAAGAACAAATTTCTGTTCTACGCCGTCATGGCGGGACTTCTCACTCCTTTTCCTATCATCTACATCCCGGTCATCAACCGCGTCGTTTTCAGGCATTTGCCTTTGACTTGGGAATGGGGCCTTGTGTTTGGAAGTATTGTTTGCTTTGTTGCGGCTGTGGAAAGCTGGAAAGGTATCAAGCGGAGACGTAGGGCTCAGAAGCTTCGGAGGACGAACGCCCGCTCTGGTGACGAGAAGCAGGAACAGCGGGCTTCTGTCTAGGAGTGGATCTTTCTCTGCTGGAGTGGGAGGTTGAAGCAGGAGCAGGAGCAGGAGCATCCAACATGCTTCTTCGGCGTCCTCGTATGAATTTGGGAACGTTTTTTTTTTTCGATTCTGGTGCTTGACGTGCTGTCACGCTCGTTTTGGGTTTTCTTTGGAGGAAGGAATTTTTATGGAAATTTTTTTGGATTGACGGTTGAGTCATGCTCCTGGCGAATGTTGGTTGAGCGAAATGATCGCAGATAGTGGAATGTGAGGCGCTTTCAACAGCGTGGTGACTGGTGAGGTACTACACTTTTCCCGCTCATCGTTGTTGCCTTGAGTGTCTAAGGTAGAGCAGAGATTTGTCGGCCGGCAGTTCTGAAGAGATATGTGTTTCTGTGCATGTGAAAAAGGTTGCGAGCGGGATGACTGTATGACATCAAATTGTGTGCGCGTGAGCGTTGAAGTGAGCGGTCGTACCTCGCATTCTGAGCAGCGCGCATCGCCCTCGCTTTTCCCCTTCGTGTACGTTCTTCAACAGACTGCAATGTGCTGGCCCTTTGCCGACGTCTGGCTTGAAAGTCCGCCTCCGCCTCCAAGACCTCGTCGTAAAACGAGAGTCCTTCACAAGCACACGATTTCGAGGCCTCGAGCACAGACGCATGCGACTCACACCGTAAGTTTGTTCTTTTCATTTGCCTTGAGCTTCGACCTCACAACCTCACTTCATTTCGCGCACTCGCCCCACCTCTTGTCGCATGCATCGCCACTCGCACATCCAACGTCGCATCAGACGAGACCTTCCTCTTCCACCACCACCATCTGCACAACTTCCACACCACCGATCCAAAGCCAACATGTCTGCCGCCGGTGATGAAGACTACGAGCATTGGCCATCCACCGACCAGCACAGTCGCCAGACCACCGCCGCACCATCCCTCGGCTACGACACCCACAACGGCCTTCACTTCCACAGCTATATGCCAGCCAAGACCAACTCACCCTCACCATCCGAAGCCCCACCCAAGGAGCCATCCCCACAGCCCCCAGTCATCAACTACCCACAACCAGTCTACTACGCTCACCCCCCACACATCCCAACTTACCCACAACCACAGTACTACTCTCACCCCCTCTACACCGTCCCGCAAGGCTACTACCAACCACCCTACCCACCAGCTGCCCCACCAGCCCCAGCGCCAGAGCCCAACATGCACTTCCCAAGCGGCCCCAACTCCCACGTCTACATCCCATCCTCCGCCCCCGACAAGTCTGGCGGCGACGTCCCCACCCCTGGCGCCACCAACGCCTGGCTCGGCCGCACCACCGCCCAAGTCGAGGAAGACAACATGAAAATCGCCAAGGCCGAGGGTGCTTACGATAAGCGGAAGATGGCGCCTGTGGATCTCAAGGATGATCAGATGTGTTGGGTTGTGGAGGTTGATGGGAGTCATAGTTTGCGGTGAGTTGGAAAAAATATCTGTGGATAAGGTGTTTTTGGGGGGGGGGGGGGGGAAGTGTTTTTTTTTAACTGATTGATGAATAGGATGTTCCGGGATATTAGGGATATGGGTGGAGAGTGGAAGGAGGATCCACGGTATAAGGGGGCGTTTTATTTTGTGAGGGAGGTGGAGGTGGAGGAGAAGAAGAAGAAGAAATAGATTGGGTCTTTTTTTCTGACCATCTGTTCTTCGAACACTCATGCTATAGGAAAGGGAAGGAATGGTGGGTTTGAAGTTGGAGAGTTCTGCGAGAAGGCTACGTTGGTTGGCCTGGAATCCTTGTTTGTTTTTTCTTTTACTTTACGATCAGCGATGGATGGAATCGATGGAGACTGCGACTGCCTGGAAGCAGTTAAATAGGTGAGCCTGAGCTACGAGAATGGCTTGGCTTGCTTTTTACTACGATGCGATGCGATGAGTAAACCAAAAAAAAAGAAGTCTTGAGGATTTTATATTCTCCTCTCTTAATTATAGATATTCGCGTGAGGTGTAGTGTTGAGATTCGCTACGGCGGGTTATATATATCCCGCGGGAAGGTTTACAGTAAAACACCCTCGACTGACGTCACACTTCTTCATCACCCAATGTTCGACTGCCTACCTCTTCTCATCCTCACTCCCAATCTTCATCCTCACCTTCTTCCACATCACCACACACGCCCTCCTCAAAATCAAACCAATCATCTACCCTTTCACCCTCCACATCACCACCACTAACACCCCCCCTCCCTCCCAACCGCCCCAACCATGTCCTGGTTCCAAAAACCCTTCACCCTCCCCCCTCACTCCCGCGGCTCCTACCTAATCACCGACACCATCCTCTCCTCCCTCCCCGAGATCAAATCCTACAAAATCGGCCTCCTGCATTTGTTCATTCAACACACCTCCTGCGGGCTTTCGTTGAACGAGAACTGGGACGAGGATGTGCGGCAAGATATGAGTGATGCGTTGGATCGCATCGTGCCGCGGAAACAGGGCTTGTATAGACATGATTGTGAGGGACCGGATGATATGCCGGCGCATGTCAAAAGTGCGTTGGTGGGGGCTAGTGTTACGGTGCCGATTTGTGAGGGGAGGGTGGGTTTGGGGACTTGGTGAGTTTTTTTGGTTTTTTTTGACTCTCCCAATCCCTGGTTTTTTTTTCTTTTTTAAGAATTTTGGGTTGGGGAGGTTTTTTTGGCTGATGTGATGTGAGGGGGATTTAGGCAGGGGATTTGGTATTTGGAGTTTAGGGATCGGGTGCATGAGAGGAAGGTTGTGGCTACGATTCAGGGGGAAAGGTATGAGAAGTGACTGGGCGCGCGGACGGTATGAAGATGAGGTTGTGAAGTGTTTTTGATGATGAGACGATCAAGGATGACATGACAGGAAGAAGAGTTTCGCTGCGACTGGATTGTGGTATCCTGACTGCGGCGACTGAGAACTGTATTGCACTCCTAGGACCGTTGAATTTGGACTCACGAAGGCCTTCAATCTCCTCGCTTCAGCTCATAATTCTGGATTCTTACAGCAGTCGTCTTTCCCTTTCTGCGACCACTTTGCTTGCCCGTGCTGCTGCAGTGGAGTCGCTTCGCGCGGCATTCGCCAATGGTCCGTAATGTTCAGGTAGATGAACCAACCTCGCAGATCCGGTGGCCACTCATCGAAGCAACACGCCGACTTGAGCCGTTACCAAGACGTATCGACCTTCTGCTACAACTCAGACATCATCAGATCTCCACTCGTGACAGCCATGCTCGATCAATCGAACCAACAGCTGGTCGACCTCGTGCAATCCCTCAGCGTGGTACGGGCCATGTCCCGCTTCTGCCCTGAAATACCAGCGTTCCGCCACGTGAATCATAGGTCCCAGGGTCAACTCCTTCAGGCCGCCTTTGCGCAAGAGCCTGCAGACACCCTTCCACGAGCCTTCCACCAGCCAGATGTGTTCTAGTCGCAGAACTTTAAGGCGCGGGAGGAGCTTGATGAGTACATTCTCGCACAATTGCCACTCCGTGCCACCCATGCAAAGTAAAGAGATCGATGAGATGTTGGTGGCAAGAAGAGCTGCAGCTAGAGGTCCCACGAAGCCCGGCCTCAGACGATCGAGACCAAGCCGTTCGAGTCTGGAGCATTTGCCAATGGTTTGACATAGCTCTTCATCTTCTCCGAAACAATATGCGAATCCCAGCGCCAACGAACGAACATGCGCCCAAGCTGGCTCACACAGTGTCTGATCTAAGTATACTTCTTCAGGGAAAGTCTCGCATTGGTTGTGGCAGAAGTTCAGAGAGTGGGCTTCAAGTTTGCTCAGCGCGAGATCTCGATTGACCATGTTGAAGATGCTGCCCGCGTTTTGCGCTTCCAGATCACCCTTCTTCAGGTGTGGGCCAAGCGTCCTGAGCAACAGCGCCATGCCAAAGATACCCTGTGATCGAGCCATCTTGATGACGGTTTCCTTGTAGCCGCATTCTTCTGGCTCAATTCTGAACCAGTTCCGTGAACTTACTTTGATGCTCCGGCATGCATCGAGCCTCTGGAAGTTCTGGAAGATGTCCACGAGCTTGAGGCCATCGATCAGGGTCAGACTATCTATCTGGGTGAAGAGGCGAGATTTGACAGCGATGCTGCGTCCATCGTTACCGGCGCGCCTGTTTCTGTGGACGGCGATCAGCTCGAGTTCGCGCACATGGCGAGCCAACGGACTGGTGCTGATCTGTCGGAGGATCGCGATTGACTCCGGTGTGAAGACATGGGCTCTGCGACGGAAGAATCGCTCGACGAAGATATCGTGTGAGTTCTTGGCCAGCGTGCGGCAGACTTGACGTGTTGCAATTATGCTGGCGTTGTCAAGGTAGCTAGCGACCTCGACATGCATCTCTGCCGGAAGGCTGTCGAGGGTCGCCATCGTGTCCGACAATGAGACTCGAGGTGGCGCGGTCTCGATGTCTTTGGTGTTGTAGGTGTGTATCGCGAAGGAAAGCGCGTCTGAAAAAAAGGCCTGTGACGACGGCCCGCGCGTTCACATGCAATCATTTCATTCCTCGCCAATCACAACTGCCGTTTCAGAACACCACCACATCTTTGCAACAAGCAACGACCTTTGAGTCATTCGATGAATTCTTCATTAAGACACACACGGCAAGGCCTCGATACATGCCTTCTTGATTGAGCAATCGCTACAAGAAGTCCTTCGCCTCCTTCTCAACATCCAAATCATCCAGTGGTGGACGACACAAATCATCAGCTTCACGATCCATCCTCATGCCAGTCAACGAGGCCTCATTTCATCCCCGTCGAAGGAAATTCCGGCAAACTTCACTCCCGTCAAAGTTCACGAGAAAAAGCCACATGCATCGAACCCGCTCCGGCAGAAGTTCTAAAAAGTATTCAGTGAGCCCAAGTTCCGTGGTCCTCATCCCGGACACATGATTACGATTCCCATGAAAGGAGGATAACCGATGGAATCCAGATTGTGGTGGTTGTAGCGAGAATCTGAGTAGCGCAGACTTGGCTTAAACCTCAATACACTACACTTCCTCTACAAGTCGTCCTGCCATCTCTCTGCTCCCATCCCTAAGGCAAACCTCGGCGCCATGCTGCGTTGCTCGTCCTCAGGTCTCGAGAATCTGCTGCTAGCCCTCCCCATGCCCCCCCCCAAAAAAATCTTCAAACATGGGCGCCAAATCCTCACCAACGCCCAAAGAAAATATGCCGAGTATTCTCAAAAATCAGTCCCATCTTGCGTCTCCTTCATGCCAATAAAACGTGCCAGCCAGACTCATGTAAAGCAGGCGGCCGCCACGATCAGTTGCGAATGCAGTATGGTGGTTTGGGAGTCGCCACGTGGCGTAAATATTCACCGGAATGTCATTCTGTGCGACAAGCAGGTCACTGGCACTGAAGGATTGCAATTGAGGGAACTCGTCGTGAATCCAACGTAGCAAAGGTGGCCATTCATAGCCAGATCCTAGGGCAATGTTCGTGAAATGCAGAGCCTCGAGGGAATGCTTGTAGCGAGAGAGCAGTGCTATGATGTCTGCTTCTGTGGCGTGGGAATCGGTTAAGGCGAAGCGCTTGATGTTCGAAGCACCAATCTCCCGGGCGAAAAATCGATTGAGACTCCTCGTGTATCTTCGTTGCCACCCATGCTTATTGAGAGTTCTTCGAGATGGGTGGCGCATCGGAGCATCTCGATTTTCTCCCCAGCCACGCGGGTTTTCTGTAAACCCACGTCGCGATTTCTTCAGCTGACGAAATATCTGCCATACACGGTCGATTTCTTCCGGGATTTCGAGGTGATGGAATGGGAGGAAGGAATCTTGTAGAACGTCGCTGCTTCTGAAGCCGAGATCGAGGGTGTCGATTGTGTGGTGAGATCGCGCGAGAGCTAGCAGTAAAGATTCTACTGCCTCGTCGATCGTTCCAGCGCAAATGTCGCCTGTTTCCGCCCAGGGTTTGTTTGATACTCTGCAGGAATGCTTTGACACCGAAGACGCCACCGCGTGATTCCTGCATCTTCTTCTCCACGTGGATTCTTCGCGCGTTGATTGGCAGTGCTGGAGGCTCGTGCATCCAGAGATTGGCCGTCACTTTGATGTCTTTCGCCACACCGAGTTGCTTGAAAGCCTTCAAGGCCTGATAGAGAAGACTATAGTCGTATCGCTGCCGTCTCATCTGCTCTGCTCGGTACCGGCGCTCTGCCTCCGCCGTCGCTGCGAGATGAACTCCTGTCCGAGACTCGATATCTTCTTCAAAGGCCTCGTCCTGATTATCAATATCGACCACTACCAGCTCAACATGCTTGATGTGTCGCGCAAACACAGCCTTCCTACTGATGTCGCGCAATGCTTCGAGTCCATGCACGGTGTAAAGGTGACTGCGGCGCTGGAAGAACCGTTCAGCGAATAGATCTGTGCAATTGGCCGCTAACGTTCGAGAAGTGGCGCGAAGTGCGCGCATGTCTTGACCTTCCCCGAGTAGTTCTGCAATTTCGACTTGCAGTTCGGCGGGCAGCGCTGCCAGATTTGGTTCTGATTCCATGGTGACGGTATGGTGATGGCGGGAGTGAGCTCGAAGGGAAGGTTTGTCAAAATCCAACTGGAGGTGTCAGTCGCAGATTGGGAAAGCTAGATTCGGTAAGATATCGGAATGGTGAGTGAATGTGCCGGACGGCCGGGGCCGCCTAGCAAGAACTTTCCTCAGCCCACAGGCTGCGCATTGAGACGGGTCGCGATGTTCAGATCAACGCCCTGCCTCTTTTAGAAGAGATAGCCTTCTCCAAAAGTGCGGTCGTACTCGTAGATGGGATCCTCTTCCTCCTGCTCTATTGCTGCCATCTCGGCCGGGTCTTCATAGAACTCCATAAACAAATCTGGGAGTTCACTGGTACGCAACCCGTAACACCAGGAATTTCTTCCACCGCAATCATATGTCAAGCTGTACGTGTCCTCCAATAACTCTTTCAAAAGCGCCAGCAAGTGGTCTGACATCCTCCTCCCGAAACAAATCCAATTCGAACCTGCCGTTCACGACCGGAATCTTCCAATAGATCTCGCCATCGAAGTATGAGCTGGCATCGTATTGCTCAACCTCGACCATTGTTGGAAGGATGATCTCTAGGTTCTTCACGCGATCCAACAGGCTGTCCGCAGGCTTTGAATGTGGTGCTTTGATGCTTCGGAAAAGTCGCAAAGAATGGAGATATGGTGAGTGGGAATACCGGTGCCTTTCAATGGCAGGGAGCAATTTGTCGAAGAAGGCCGCTTCGAAGGTTCCAAATGGCTCACGTAGTCTTATTCAAATTGCCGTCTTCGTCTCGTTGTAATTCCTTAGTCTTCCTCGCCTTCGTTCTCGCCCTCCTCGCCACTCTCATCGCTGTCCCACTCGGTCTCCGAAGGCAGGCCTCCATGCCACTCATACCCACCAACATCTTCAAACAACTCACGAATATTGCGGACATCGTCAGAGACAAGCCGGAATCGCATACCATCGTAGTCACGCTTTTCGAGAAATGCGGCTAATCGATTTTGCATCACGACATCCGCTCGGATTTTTGTAGCATCGTCGAGATCATCATCGCCCAGCTCATCAACCACGCCGAAGTCGCCCTCTTTGATCTCTAGCATACCAGTCATCCGCAAATTCATGTTGCCGGGAGATATGAGCAGAGTCCAATCAGCTCCCCAACGGCGGCCCATCTGGTCACCAGTAACTGGATCATCCGCGAAATAGTCGAATATAATATGCCTCGTCATTTGAATGTTGCAAACCTCATCCAGAACAGATTGCGGCGCAAGCTCGAGGAAGCGGCGTTCGATTTCGCTTAGTTTCGGACGAGGCGTGAATTTAAAGGTGAGCAGGTCATAGAATACTGACAAAGATTCCTTGCGGACGAGTCGCGAAGGAGTGGTAATAGGTGGCTGCGTTTTGGGAATGTCCGGCGACCAGTCGAATGGTTTGAATTTCGCTTGAAGATCATGGAAGTAGAACTCGTAGATGTTCACACGCAGCTCCGGGGGCAAGTCCATAAATCTATTGAAGGTAGAATTGTCATCTGCATCCTGAAGATGTTGCCCCAATAACTTCTTGCGCTGGCGTTTATTCTTGCCTTCGAGCTCTGGGAGCGGTAGCAGGCCTCGACTGGTGCAGAAATTTCTCAATTCGTCGATATCGCATTTCTGATAATCTGAGAAACCACATTGGTTCCGTATGTGAATGTCTGTGAGTGTGGCCTTGTTGGAACTCTTGACATAAGACATCCCTTGGGAGTCAAGAGATGCTTTCAACTCCGCGACGGAGCCTGGGACTTTCAGATGCCAATAGTTGCGTGGGTCGATGGGACGACTGGAGCTTAGTCTTTTGATCTTCATGATGCTGTTCAGTCTTTTCTTGGCGATTTCGGGTGCCGTTCAGTCTGCCGAAGTGGTGGAGTCAACATTCGCTACATGTGATCAGCATGAACAAGGACAAAGACCTGCGTGGAACCCGATCCGGCGATGCCAAGACCGGCTCATTCCAGATCTGAAAGCCAGACACGGTGGCCCCATTTCATTGGAGCTACCTACGCAGAAATGATTTATGCACGGCGTCCTTTCCCTGCCCGTGGGAATTGAAGAGGGAGCTTCAATCGCGCCATCCGAGTCGCAGCTGCCTGTGCCTTGGTCATCTCTCTTCGCGTGCGCTCAGCTTCAGTGACAGGTCCTACGCGAGCACCCAGTTCCAGGAAGTAATGGCCAAGAGCGCTAAGTTCGAGCTTCGTGTCTTCTTTCAGGAGCCAGATATCGACTTCCATGTTGTCAATGAATAGGGCAAGAGCGCAGATGTGAGTGTACCTGGGAGGATATGTTAGCGACAGTCGCTCCAAATTTGAATCTGCACACTGCACTGCTGTCTGCGATGCGGCTGGCACGGCCGTGAGACGCTTGTGGGGTCACTTACAGATTATCCATCTGCCACTTGCCAAGCTCTTGACCAGTCTCATTCGTGAATCGCCGCCGCACAGAGTCCACGAGCTGTTCTGGCCACCGCGATGGAGGCAGGCGCTTCTGCAATATCTCCTTCTTTGGCACCTTCTTGCCAGCCCTCCCGGCGTTCGACAGCACGTTGTGAAATTCGAGAAGCAGCGCAAGATACTTCAAAGCTTTCAGCTTGCGAGGATCGTCTGCAACGAACTTGAGCCGCGTCGCCGGATACTGAATGCCCTTGAACTCGACTGATTCTCCTGCTTTTGCCTTGTCCTGCCAATCCTTGATTTTGATGTACTGTTGAGCGTCTCCTACCAGCGCTTCGAAAGTGTAGACCTGCTCTGGATGTTCTGCCTCGAGATTGGGTCGCGGGATCGGCTTCGCAGCAAGGAGCGCGTCCGCAGTCTCCTTCTCGGAAGCTTTCGATGCAGCACCAGCTGTTGTCTCGCCGATCGATTCTAGTATGGCGCTCTCTACATCCGTGATCTTGCCCTTGCCCTTGCGATCCCCTATTATCGCATTTTCTGTCTTGGCCGCAATTGCCTTCTTTGCTTTCTTGGTACCAAATTCGCTTCCCAAGGCTTCACGCTGCTTGGCATAGCTCAGTCGCTCCTTCTCAGCTTCGTCCAACTCATATATCTCAGAGCGAAGCGTGCTCGTCAGTGTCAAATGGTGGGCTTCTGCGACCTCGAGGATATTGGAGGCGGGATCAAACACGCAGACATAATGCTTCAAACCGTCCTCGCCGAGGGTGGGCGTTGCAGTATAGTCGAGCTTTGGGTGTTGCGACGAATGTAGAAGTAAATCGTGCGTACTCGGCTTGACGGGCGCATTGACGTGTATTGGCGATCTCGGTTTGGAGTAGGCCTTGAAAGGCACCTGAGGGGTCTTCACGCCTGGCGCAGTGAGAAGCACTGGGTGAGCGCCTGTTTCGCCGTCGAGGTGGATGAGTTTGATCTTGTCGCCAGCGATGCGCTTATTTGGTCGATCGACACCGTTCGACTGTCGCTTCCGCTTCTTGGCTTCTATGTCTGCCATCGTCGTTGGAGAGTCTTAAAATGAACACGACCACTTGATGTCTTCGATTTCATGGAGCTGTTGCAGTCGCAGTCAAAATTTCCAGGCGAGCTACCGAACAGGGTAGTGCGATAGAGTTCACGCTACCACTAGGGAGGCCCATACATACCAGAGGCTCAATGCGGGGTTTCTTATACTTCTCACCGCTATTCCTACCTAATTCTTCGTGTTTAACCTTCTACGACTCGTACTATACTCGCTATCGACTCGTAGAATGCCTCTACGTATCGATTTATCGCTATAGAAGGCTTAGATAATATCTTAAGTCTACGGCGGTACTATACGAGAAGCAATCGTATAGTACCTTATATAAGAGACCGGTTGTTAGATATCTCTTAATATACTTAAACGAAGGCTTAAAAAGTAGAACATTAATTATAGCTACTCTACTTACTATTACTAAGTTAACGATATTAAGGCACTAAAGATCCGGGTCGTATATACCTTCTACGTTCTACGGTTAACTAATAAAGAGGCGGTTCGAGTACTATAGGCGGATAGGTTTAAGATTAGCTAGCGGAGGTATTAACGGATACGTTAAGAGCTTAGATTAAAGAAGGCATTATTAATAGATAGATAGATAGAAGCGGAAGAATAGATAGTAGAGGTCTTATAGGAAGAGCTCGAGAAGTCTATAGTAGAGTCCTTTAGCCGACGGTACCTATATACCTATATTAGGTCTAAATATAACATTATTAGTAGAGATCGGCTATATCGTATAGCTTCCTTACTAAATCCTAAAGGGTTGCGAGTCCGCCGCGAGCGGGCGCGAGAGCACTATAGAGCGATTATTATACCCGGCCCTAGTTACGCAATATTAATAGATACTTACTATAAATTCGAGCATTAGGGGATATAGATCTACGTAGCGATTAATATTTACTCGCGTTACATTGTCTAAATCTATATAGGCATTACTAGCCGGACAGCTATCTCTATACTAGCTTAATACCTTACAACGATCCGGAATAGTAGTATAATGCTACAGATTATTCGATTAGACCGTAGGGTAGAGACGATTCTAGCTGCGGATGCTTACTATAAGACTCGCCTTACGACTCGTAGTAACCCGGAATAACCGCTAGCCTTCGAGGACTGCTTCAAATATAGTACGAGTAAGATAAACTAGCGGATTAAGGCATAGTAGCGTTAGCAAGCACTTATACTAAATAGCTAGAGGGGCTATTTCTACGAGTTACTACGCGAGTTACTATACGATGCTAAACTGCTAGCGGATCGGATTGCCTTCCTTGCAATCTATATACTAATTATACGTTATAAAGTCCTCGAATTTGTTTACCTCTAGAATAGCTATCGTATCCGGAAGCAGGCTAATCGACTATACGTTATACTAGGTATTCCGCATATTCTATACTATTATCTAGAGCTTAGCGGGCATTCTTATTAAGGTATTCCTATACCTAACGGCGCACTTAATAATATAGAGCAAGACCTTTAAGGATTCGGTATATATTAGATTCTATAGTACAGACTCGCTATAGACTCGCTAATAGACTCGCTAATTCCTAGATCTTAAAGCCTACCTACCCGAGGCTACGCTTTCTTAGTATAAGATAGTATTATAGATTCATAGCTTCTCGTATCTAGTAAGTAGTAGCGAGAATAGCGATAATGTAGAGCGCCTTTACCGCTCTACCTACTTGCTTCTTCGAGGGCTAGCTAGGGAGTATATAGCTATAGGGTTAGAGCCGGAACTAATAGAGTTAGATAAGCTATTAGCAGTACGTAGTTAGTTAGCGGCGGCTCGGAATTAGGAAGCTAGGTTAATTGAGTTTGCAAATAATATATACTAATCTCCGATCTACAAGCCGGCCGCGAGTATATAGCGAGTCGCTTTTTCTAGTTCGATTTTATCTATAACCTTCTTAAACCTCTACTATTTCTACCTCTATTTATCTAACAATGCCTACTAATTAGGGCACCTATTGCACTAAATTAGGCGTCGACTATGCAAAGATATATAGTAAATACCGATACTGTTTACAATGCGGCCTTCTTAATCCCGATCTACTAAGCGAGCAATTTGTTCGCGAGTAATTAGTAGCCGCCGCTGCGAGTAGCTCCGCGAGTACGGTACGAGGCTTTAATGCGTTCCCCTTTATACCTAAGGCGGCTAATACTACACGCAATGCTGCTAGTTAGTTTTACAAGCTAACAACTCGAATACTAAATGCTAGATCTCGGAGCCTCTCGTAACGTCTACTAATATCTGCTTTAGCTTTAGCTTTAGCTTTATTAGACCTTAAAGTATAGGCATACTATTGCCGCTATTTGATCTATACTTAGTATATAGAAGTTAAGCTTACGAGTACAACTAAGATATAGTTCTATAGTGAACCTAACCTATATACTACTGTTACGGATGCCTAGTCTAACTAAGAATTCCTTAAAGCCGAGATAACGTTTATAGACTAGATTGTCGACCGGATTAACGCCTACGAGCTACTAGATAGTAGTATCGATCGGACCTAGGACTATTATAACTACTTCCTCTATATAGACTTTAATAAAGCAACTAATTAACTAGAGAAGCTAGCAAGCAAGGCGCTTCGATTACTTAGATAGGCTTTAACGGTCTACAAACTAGCAACAAAGTTATTATTAGTCTACGAGATTAAGCTCTATATCTAGACTAAGTAGGAGAAGTAGCAACAACAAAAGCGGAAACATTAGTTAAGTACTATTACTACGAGTACTAGTACGAGTAATATAGCGAGTTAGCAAAAGGTAGTTAATAGTATTAAGATTAAGAAAGAAAAGCTATAGACTAAGAAGGTTATTAATACGAATTAGCCGCCTAAGATAATTAACTTAAGCGGCGATGCTACCGCGAGTGTACCGCGAGGTACGCCTACTCCGAAAGGGTCGCGCGAATCGAAGGATTAGTAACCTACTAATAGATAGGCTGCTAATAGCGGTAGATAGGCTAATAGCGGTAGATAGGCTAATAGCGGTAGATAGGCTAATAGCGGTAGATAGGCTAATAGCGGTAGATAGGCTAATAGCGGCGGATAGGCTAATAGACAGGCTAAGAATACAAAGCGCAGTTAACGACTAAAGAAGAAGAGATAGAATAGTAGACTCGTAGTAGACTCGTAGTAGACTCGCACTTCTTTTACTATCTCTAAAACCTTTAACTTAAATGTTACGATATAACACCATTGTATATACGATAGCAGGCAGCGGTCACTATCGACCGCTGCGGTCGCTATTGCTACTAATAGTAGGACTATTATGTAGATAGCTTGCCTCGCGGCACCTTAGAGAAATTATTAACTTTTGCACCGTACAACCGTTACGATACCTTCGTACTATAACTGTGTGCCTAGCAACTTAGTAGCTTCGCTTAACACTTAGTTAGCTTCTATACTAACTACTAGTCCTCTATCCGAATCGACCCCGGTCGTTACGGCTACGACGAGAATTAACGCGATTAGCTACGGGTCCTACCGATCTTCCGCCGATTACTACGATTTAACTCCTACCCGTTACGACGGTACCTATTCGATTTACTACCCTTCCGCACTATATCCTACCGACGCGCGAGCGCCTTATTAGCGATCCTATTAGTACCCCGAGGAGACAGTAGTAGTAGTTTCTACCTTTAGTAGCAAGTGCCTACTATACCTAGGTCTAGGGGTAGCTGCTTTCCCTAGGAGGACCTGCCCGATAAGCTACGCTCCTCTACCTTTAGTCGGTTCTCCGTTATTGTCCTCCGTTTAGAGACTATCTCGCCTCTACCCTCTTACTAATAGTTTACCTGCTTGCCGTAGCTCCTTCGGACTCGCTTCTAACTCCGGTAGAAGCCTCGAAATTAGCTAAGCTAGTGGTTTAACCGCTGCCCTAGTACTACAATCTCGGATTGCCAGATATAGAGCCCTATATCCTACGTATCTGTTCCTATATTTAGAACTACGTCGATTATAGCGAGAACTTCGCGACCTAGCTTAGGGCAAAGTACGGCCGAATCGACTTGCTTGCCTTATACGTTCTACATTATTACCCGCTCGTAGGAAATCCGCCGCCTCTATAGACTAAAATCGAGGAGCTCTACCTAGACGCCCTTAACGGTTACAACTTCCTAGGATAGTAGGTAGTAGATAAAGGAATCCTAACTAAATCGGTTAAGGAGCTTAAAGCCGCGCTCCTAACGGTGCGCGATTTACGCTATTACCGTTAATTCTACCCGGAGATCTATCTACCGCCTGCGGCAGAGTAGCGCCTACTAGCCCGACTGCCTTAAGTCCTACCGCGGCCTACGGTTTCGCCTATTACTACGGTAGAAACAACCGTGCCGCCGGAATAGCGTCCCGGTTCGCCTAATAGCTCGCTTAAATCGGTTTTCTTACGGAGGCTACTTAAGCTACGATACCCGGCGGACGAGAATCCTTAGAAGCTAAAGGGGCCTCTACCTAAGACTTCCCCTAAGGAACCGTTAACCGGGCCTTCCGATCTGTCGACGTCGCCGTTCTAGGACATCGGTCGCGGCTAATTGCCTCTAATAAACGACGGCCTCGCCGACCCGTAGGCTAACGAGCCGCGTAGTCGTTTCTAATATTGTATCCCGGTAGACGCTTTATAGACAACCGAGGAGATCGATAGGGCGAACATCGCTATATAGCAAAACCGTTAGCGTCGTAATTATCTTCGCGAATTAGCTAGACGGAGAGGAGTCTATCTTAACGAAGTTGTATTAGACTTTCTAATAGAATAGGCGATTTTACCGCTATCGGCTACGCGTAAGCTAAGTCCGCCCTAGCCGAACCTAGGTTAATACGATTACTAGTAGAGGGCAGACGCATATATAAATGCCCGTAGGTATAGCCGCTTGCGTCGGGGCGGGTTTGCGCTAAGCGATCCGCCTAGCAATCCGCCTAGTAATCCTCTTAGCAATCTACCTAGAAATCCTCCCGACGATCCTCTAC